AGTTATGGCCCAAGGTTAGAACCAAGGAAGAACAACACGAACACAAGAGTAGAATAACAAAGATATATTACAACAGAAATATAGTACAAGAAGTTGAAGGTGTTAGTAATGACTGTCCGTCTGGTTGAGAGTGAACTAATATTGTCTCGACTCGTTACACAATTCATTCATTATACCTCTTGAGAGGTGCAGTATTTATAGTGTCAGGAAGAGTCCATTATCGTTATAGATAAGTTCCCATAACACCAAATCCATGAATCTCAACACTTTAAAATATCTGACTGGTTGAATATTTCAGTTATAAAATGTATTTTCTGTTTAAAATAAGAAAAGCTCAAAATTTGAATGTATTTTCCATTAATTTTACATGTAAATTCATGCTGTTGTGTTTTCTTCAGAATCCCTTTTGTTTTTGTTATGATCAAACTTAGTAGCTGTAGATATCCTATGTACTCTGACTCAAAGTTCCTTATGAGCTTTATAGCTCTCTTTATGCTAATAGCTAAATCAAGCCCATTACAACTCACTGAATCTTTTGGGTTTCACACCCTGCATGGATCTACCACTTCTACATTCCCCACCCCCATCTCTACTAGTTTCACAAGTATTTCTCATTATGGGGGACCTTGATCTAGTTATACTCTGAGTCTTCCAAAGAACTTTGATTGTCCATTGATTCCTCTACTCTGCTTTCTTGTTTATTTACATAATCAATCAAACTATTTTCCTCATAATTTTTACTAACTCTTAAATGGTCTGCATGGGCAACAATATTTTTACCATTCTTGCATATTAATGCCCATGTTGTATCCTTTTTTGCATTATCAAATTCACCTTTTCTCTCTCATTTTTTTTATTTCTTTTGTGCCATATGTTTTCATTAATAGAGTAAGACGTGGTTAATGGAGCTCTAATCTGTCTGCCCATTAATGCAAATAGGCTCTCTAATCTGTCAGCATGTGGTATCATTCTGTAATTCAACAATAATCTTGGTAGGAAAGTTTCAATCTTTTCTTGCTGAGAAGAAAATGCTTTCAATACCATCTTTATTGTTTGAACCATTCATTCAACAAATCCATTTGATTGAAGGTTCTAAGTAGAAGAACTCTAAGATTAAATCAACAATGATTCATCCAGACTTGAAATTTCTCTGTTCAAACATTACTGAATGCAACACACACCTGAGAAAGATTGGAGAATGTTTTGCTTGTAGTGACCAAAAAAACAAAGATGAGAATATGAATGTAAATAATTCAAGAAAACCTGGCTTGGTGGCTTAGATAGTTGCAGATTTCCCAGTGGTTCACTGTCCCATTTCTCCTTCTACTAATCTTTCTTATAAAATATTAATAATGCAGAGCAAGAAAATTATCTGGTGGCTAAATCTTAAAATTTTATCTTGAATCATGACAAAGACAACCTCCAATATCAAAACATTGCTTTAAATTTTTTTTTTTTTTTTTTAGGAAGCTAACATGCAGTTTGAAGACTTTGGCATTCTTACACTTTATAATTTCAGAAAATACTAAATGAAAATAGGTCAGCACAAAGACTTGAATAAATGAACTGGTAAAAGTCTGCTGAAAAAAACATCATTCTTCAATAAGTTCTTTGCAAACAGCATTATTGCAAGGAAGAACTAAAATGCACATTTTTTAATTATTTTACCCATGTGGAGATTTTTATATCTAATGCAAAAGCCAGAAAATGCAAATCTATTATTAAACTAATTCAGTTTTTACACTAGTAGTGACTGATAGCTTACATTGAAAATCAAGAAACAGCAAGTCTCCTCAATATGATTTTAGTAATGTTTTTATTATTATTATAGCAGTAATATTAAAAATTTAATTTTTTCATCTAAGTATCCACATTATGTCTTGGGACATTATACTCTACAGAAAACTGCTAGATTCCAAACTCATTATGCTATCATAGTTTATTGTGAGAACTTATAATTTCATCTTTTTTACCTTTAATGTTCATTTGATGTATGTTACATCTGGTGATCTTTGAATACAGCCCAGTCACTACTGTATTTTGGGATATATAAGTTGTACCTAGATATGGAATGCACTGTAAAATTATCATGAGATATGATGAAAAATAAAATTAAAGAAAATATTCTAGAATCTGCCTCAGAACTCACTAAAGCAGATTCATAAGATCCTAAGTGTGACCTCAGCCTGAACTTTGCTGTGTAAGATGCAGGGTGATTTGTAGGGTCAGGTTTTGATAAAAAGAAACCCTGCATCTTGTATGCCACAAAATAGTCTGCATGCGTATAATGGTGTTCTAAAACATTATGACCAGCAATATGTGACAAGAGTGACAGCTACTGAACATGTCGGACTCATAGACATATAAGCAGGGAATGTGAGTGATAAGATTAGCCATTTCCTTATAAGTAAACATTCAGCATTTATTGACTGAACAGTTAGTATTACTACCAGTTGAAATTTATAAAATCCTTCTCTTAAAACAGTTATTCAGGAAAATAGGTTTCTCAAGTTCAACAACTTTTATATAATCTTTATATTGCTTATGGGTTTTTCTTTGTTTAAATTAACTTTGATTTCTTCATCTTGGGGTATCGAATGCCACAATTTTGAGCAAGAAAATTATTTGAAAAACTTTGATGAAAGCCAAATTATTGTTGCCAAAAGACCAAGTTATAGAAATTATTTTTGGCAACTGCAACAATTAAAAATAATATAAGTAAACAAATTTGCAAAAATTTGCCTAAAGACCTTTCATTCTCCAACATTTGTTATATTCATGCCAATTTATGTAGCATTGAATCTTTTCTCTTGAAATGTTCTCCATAGATATCTTAGCACTCGGTGAAGTTTATTTAAACTCTTTTATGTCTATCACTGAACTCTCTGTTACAGGCTATCTTCCTTTTTATTGAAAGAATTCTAGAATACATATACATGGCTTTGGTTTCTAATTTCAGGAAAATCTCCTAATGGCACGAGAATTCTCTCTTGAATCTCCAGATAATTTTTTTATGTCTTTTTTAACTTTTACTATCAAACTCTGTTAGCTATCTCTTAATCTAGAACCAAGTCTCTATGGAATGATATGCATATAACTCTGTCCATAGTTTCTGATATCACCTCCAAATAGCATCCCTGTAAAAAAATATATATATATTTTTACCAGGATTTTCTAAAATAAGAAACATTTCAAAAATAATTTAATTCATTTGTAAATAAGCCCTGAAAGTTTCATTAAAAACCAACAATTATCAGTTTTTTGCAACAATTTCCAAATCAATTTGTTTTTTACTGCAAAAAAATGTTCAAATTTCCCATATTAATTTATGGACCCAGAAAAACAAGATTTTTAACCAAAATTTTGAAGGTTCTAAAAGTGTATTAAAAAAATAATTTTTACATAAAAATAATACTTAATAATAATACAAAGATTTTGACATAAAAAATATTTTTATTAAGTTTTAGACATTTATTCATCATGTATTATATAATTTTTTAGAAAATCTTTAGAGGTACTTAGATAGTTTTTTAAAATGAATAAAAGCTTTATTTTAATAAAAATTGTATGTAACTTTTTCAAAATAATTTTAAATATTTAAAACAAAATTTTAAGATATTGAATGGATAAAAACTTTATCTTTTTAATCAAAAAAAAAAAAAAACTTTGTTGGTTGCTCCTATTCACTCCAAGTGTGAACTGGTCAAGAAGAAAATTTGGAGATAGGAGTCACAATGAGACTGACCACAATTTTGACATAAAAAATGCTAATCTGGTCAAAGGAGAAACAATTCACTAAGACAAAAATGTTTAGAGTGTGCCTTGATCACAAAAGGTCATCTACAGTAAATGTGTGCTCTGACCTTTACAACGTTTCATCATTCCTAGCAGAACTTCTATTATCACAGTGTGGGATATCTAATAACAAAAGTGATAGAAACAAAAAGAAAAACATTCTAGATTAAATTTGATAGATTAAAAAAAATATTAGAATTTAAAATTCCCAGCATCCCTTGTTTGTGCACGTGTGTAGTTGCATGAAAATAACAAATTTAGTCTGGTAAAGTCCTAAAGGACAAAACACATCAGACCAAAATTTTAGCCACTTTGTCATACATTTTTCCCTATATATATATATATATATATATATATATATATATATATATATATATATATATAAAATGTAGTCTTACCACTTTCTCAGTTAAGACAATTTACATTGCTGACAATAAAAAGAATCAATGAAAAAAAACAATGTCTTTTACATTGTATGCATGACAAATTTTAGCCACTGTCATACATTTTTCCCTATATATATATATATATATATATATATATATATATATATATATATATATATAAAATCTAGTCTTACCTTCTTCAGTTCAGACAATTTACATTGCTGACAATAAAAAAGAATCGATAAAAAAAAAACAGTGTCTTTTACATTGTATGCATGAGAAATTTTAACTGATACTTTCATATCATTATCAGATATAGAAAACCACAATGTTATTGTTCCTATTCAATTTTTAACTTTCTTAAATACTGGTTGCCATCTCAAATATTGTCAACTTATACTGTTTTCTTTAATAAATTTATTATATATGCATCCCCCTTCATGTATGTTTTTATTTTTCATTATGTTTTGAGAAAAGTGATTTTGCTTTTATAAATTTTTTTTTTCAGAAACAAGTTTCATATTGTTCTTAATGTTACAAACTAAGCTATATTTTCATCTATATTCCTAAATGGATTTCACAATGAATAATTTACTGTCAGTTCTGCTCTTTTGTGGATTTGTCTGTTGTGTCATGAGGGAAATAAACAGTTATGTCAATTTTTATCCAAGTCAGTCAGAATTTTATCCTGTCCCTGTAAAACAGATGACTCTGACAGGTTTAGTTTTCTTTAAGCAATTCCAGTTGCATATTCAGTGCTTAATTGAATTCAATTAATGATATCATTCATAATAAAATAACTGTTTATTCTCATTTCAGAGCTGCAGTTACACTGCATCAGTTTATGGTTTTTAAACAAAAACTTGATCGTGAAGAAATCAAACCTTTATTGATTCGCAATACAATTCCTATCTGCATGTATCAATATGAACGGATCTTTGCAACAACACGGTAAGAAATTTTTCTTTTATTTCCTTCAATAGATTCCAGAAATTTATCTTAGGTAGTATTTAATTTCAAAGAAATATCATGAATCAATCTTACAGTTAGCGGCTTGGGAGATCAAAATGCTTCTCAGTTCATTTTACTACAAGCACATGCTCACAGTAGTCAATTTATTTCTTGTCTTCCTTATTATTGCTTTTCACTTAATTTGATTTCAAATGCTTTATGCTAGGATTTTTTAAACAATAAAAAAAAAAAAAAATTCATTGAATTTACCTGTGCTGCTAAAATGTAAAATTGATGTTTGGAGTTATAATCTTACTTATTATAAAAACCCAGATTGTGTGTCTGTCTGTACGTTTATATATTGGATCGGATTTCCTACATTTTTAACCAATTTCAACAAAACTTCACAGGACTACATAAAATTACCTTGCGGTGGTTCTGACAGTGCCAAAAATTGGAAAAACACAATTGTTTTTGCACAAAATCAATTTGAAAACACGATTAAGAGGCATTAATGAAAGGGGGACAACTCATATCGAATTATACTTATTATTATAAAACCCAGTTTGTTTGTGTGTGTGTGTGTTCATTTATATATGGGATCGGATTTCCTACATTTTTCAACCGATTTCAACAAAACTTTTTTTTTTGCAGGTAGTGTTTCTTATTGTCTTGCACACTTTTTTCTTTATTTTTACATTCAGAATGCGTTTAAAATTCCATTTACAAGACAATTGTTTATAATAAAATTCTATTCAATCGGTAGACTCATAACGATTGAAAACAATGTTTTTGTTTGAGTTTGGGTTTGACCAATTACGTAAAAAAAAAAAAAAACTAATTAAGACATGCGTGTCCGTCAACCTTAAACAATAATCTTTGTCAATTTTATTTTTCAGTCTTTATGATGGTTGATACTTGATCTATCACTTACTGTTACATCCCCGGGCAACGCCGAGCTCTACTGCTAGTCATTGATATAATATCTTTTCATTCTTTATCTGCTATTTTTTTACTTTTCTGCTGTATATTTCTTTCTATTCTTTCAAGATGTCAGTTGAATTAAAAAATGAAAGATTTTACCCAAATCAACAAGGCTTTTTAATATAACAACCAACTGTTTTATATTATAATAACAGACTTTTATACACTGAAAAATTAAAAATGTAATTAATTCATTAATGAAATTGGTTATTCAGAACTCGGCCATTATCTGGATTATCCTAAAACCTACTTACATTTTTGTTACATCAAAAGAGGATGTAGCTTTTATGTATAAATTTGTTGTTAAATGTATTACTCTTGGCTCTGTTATTGTTTAGATTGAGTGTTAATACTTATAAATTTCAGTTTAGTCTGGCACAAGGTGATGAGTATAGATAGTAAATATCAGTAAATAGTACTAACTAACTCGAAATAAAGAATTAGCTCTCCTCAGTGGGACTTGAACTTGTATTCATTTTGCTATTTGATATCCATCTTAGTCTTACTGTAATAATTGATTGTGATTTTATAATTGCCAGTTTAAATCTAAATTCATAAACTTATTCTTAATCTCTTGGTACCACTATATTTGATAGTTTTGTTCTATTAAACTAGAAGTATTATATTATCTTGGATTTTTATTAGATAAAGCATTGCCAGATATTAGTAATTTATTGACTTTGTTATAATAAATATATGGTTGCAAAGAAAAGAAACATACAAGGATTAAAATTTCAACATGTATTGGTTAAAATTCAGAATATATACAGTCATATGAAAGGTGGCAAAAATTGTTAATATGTAGTTCTTTAGTTTCTGTTGGTAAGAAAAGCGATTAGGTATGAGAGTGTTGTCGGTAGGGCCAAGAGTTGACTGATTTCTTAGGTTGGTTGGCTGCAATTGCGATTGGTGTCAGGTTTGGAGCAGATTAGTGAAGCCAAGTGTAGTGTCATTGGCATGGTTGATGTAAACCTTTCTTTAAGGTTGAAATTGACACCAGTGAGGTGTTTGATGGGCTGGTGGTCATGTGATGAGGCCAAGATGTTGAAGCCATACTACCTGGTAAGGTGCGTTGGCAAGTTGAACAAGGAAGGCCCAAAATAGTTAGCAAAGCTACAAATCTGACTTTGCTGATACAAGGCTACAAAGTCATGAATTTAACTTTGTCTATACAGTGGATGTGAGCTTGAAGAATTAAGAGAAGTCATAAATCTGACTTTGACAATATAAGAGTTGCATTGGCAGGTTGGTAGTGGAATGTGTCTGTTGGGTTCTTATCGAATGCGACATCAATGAAAACAGGGTCATGGTAGTGACAAGGAGGGAAACCTGGAGCTGGATGGTGAAGATGTCGATGTGCGAGAAATCACAGTGGTGATAGTGGTAGGGGGCACGGTGGAGTAATGGATAGCGGCTTGGATTTAGGAATCGGAGAGCCGAGTTCGAATTCCAGTCGAATCCATTACATTCACTTACGTGCTAACACCCTTGGGAAAGGTGTGAATCCTCTTTCTTCTCCCTCCAGCTATGGGTAAATAGCAGGACAGACTGGGTTCTATAGCCTTGGATGGCAACTGGTCTAGGAGAAGGAAAACTCTGAATTCAAAACCTGCTCTTAGATGAGGGTGAATGGAGTCTCTCTGAGCCTTGGTTGGCAATCCATTTAGTGATGGTGTTACGATAAAAACACCCTTGATAGCCCTAGCGAAGCATCAAGAATTCAGCTATTTGACAAGATTATGAACTACACCAATCAAAGTATTGGTGAGTTCAATCTCGGCTGAGGTCGCAAGATGATGATGGTAGGAGGCATCAATGTTAAAGTGCATTCTGCATGCGAAAAGTCTGGTGAGATTAGTGAAGCTTGGGTCAGGTCACTGTGATGACAAGAGAGGCGATCATGGCAGCACACTAGTGTTGACAGGCGGCCTCTCATTATGAGGGGCTTTCTTTTAAACAAATCTCACCTGCCACCTCCTCCTCCCCCCCAGTAACATCTTTTTGGGGCAAGAATGTTCATGATTGACTATTGTATTTTATTGTGGGGATTTGTTTTGTGGACCGGATGTGATGCTTGGAGCCCCGACATGTAGAGTGAATCAGAAAGAGATTTAATTGCAGCTGAGTATAACTGTAACTGTATTTCTTTCATCTAAATTTCATTTATTTATTGCAACTACTCAGACCATGAATAAACAATATGGATTGGAATTAAAAAGCACATTCTTGGCTTATTGATGTTCTACAACCAGAAGGAAATAATTACTAAGTAAAAATTCAAGATACGCTGCTTGAATGTTGTATATTTTTAATCAAAACTTTGATTTATTTCATTGTAAATTCTGTTTGTTTAAAGTTACCTTCTTTTAAATTTGTTAATTTTAATTCTCTTTTTTTTTTTTTTTTTTAAATTTTAGAATTCCAGGACATGAAATAGATTTTTTGATGCATAATGGTTCTTCAAAGGTAAATATTGTTATTTTTAATGCATTTGTTGATAAACTTATTATAATTTCTATTATTCTACATGACTGTTTCCACATTTCCAGTTCTTGCATTTTTGCAAGAATGATTCAACTCACTACATTGTTGACTTGCTAACTTTAACTCTACAATTCTGTTCATACCATTTTTTTTTTTCAAATTACAGCCATACTTTCTTTATCATTTAATTTTTTGTTTTTTTATACAACTCTTGAAAAGCTCTGGATCTGAGATCTGACTTTTTATTCCAGTAAATTCATGCTTTACTCTTTGTAACTTGGAAATTGTATTCCAGTAGGTTTTCTTTGACAATATTGTTTTGTTTTCTTTTATTTATGTTTTGACAGCACATTGTTGTGCTACGAAAGGGCCTTATCTATAAGCTGAACATGTTTGATATTGATAGTAAATTGCTCTCTCCAGCCAACCTTGAGCAACAAATTCAATGGATCATTGAAGATGCAGACAAACACCAAGGTAAATATTTCTACCACATCAACAACAATTGCTTTCTTTATACATTAATACATAGTATGCAATTCATTAGACATTTTTGATATTTTTTTCTTTCATCTTAATTCTCAGATCATCATTCTACATTTGTGAGTAAACAGCCTGGGTCAGAAATGAAGAATAAGTGTCTGGTGAGCTTGAACTGACATCCCTTCTCCCATGGGAAGTTTATCTTAGCATAACAACTGCTTTGCTAGTTTGGCTACAAAGAAAACAGACTATATTCTTTATTTTCTCATTTCCCAAATAACTAATTCTCTCCATCTTTTAATGTTTATTTACACTAGTAGTATTAGTAACAATATTATTGGGAATTTATTATGAGATGAAGTATCTTTAATTATTATTAATTTTTGACTAGTATTTCTTTCATATTAATTTCACTTGTTTCGTTCATAACTTTTCAGACTGTCATTCTACAGAAAAAGTGATATGAATCCAAGTGACACCACAAGTTTATTCTTTATTTCTCATCTGTACCTCTTGCTGACAGCTGTAATATGGCAGACTTAAAAGTTCCAATAAAAACCAACTGAAATCAATATGAAAGTAATACTAGTCAAAAATTAATAATGATAATAATAATGAATAATTTATCTATTAATAAATTCAAGATTATATTTTGCTGCTACTGCCATTAGTATAACATGTTACAACAAAAGATGCAGAGCATGTCTGCCCCCATCCTGAAATGATGTGGCACACAAAGGAAGTGTACTTTGTAATTAAATGTCTATATATATATATATATATATATATATATATTTATAAATATAAAAGACAATAGGAAAACTGTTATATTAGCCAATGCATTTCATCCAATGTGGACTTTTTCAAGACAAAAACGAAATTAAATTAAAACGAAAAACGTTATTAGTTACTTTGTTTTAATAAATTCATTTTGTTTTTGCTTTGAAAAAGTCCACATTGGATGAAACGTGTCAGCTATTATTACAGTTTTCCTATTGTCTTTTAAATTTATAAATATTGTCTTTTTCTACAGGTTAACTCTGTAAAATTTTTCATATATATATATATATATATATATATATGTCTATATTTCTGAGATGAAGTATTGTAACTATTTATATCATTCAGACTGTTGTCCTCATCTTTATTAGCATATTCACATTTCGTTCGTTGTATGCTCTGACCTTCTTCAGGTGATATACATTGGAATTTCAAACCAAACCCTTTATTTAGTTCACAGTGTAGATTGTTCTATTTCCACATGCCATGCCTTTTTCGGATATCTCAGTATCAGTTAATTCCCTTTAGCAACTCAACTCTCCAAGATGTTTTGTTTCCTTTGCTATGGCCAGGTATTGAACTCACAACTCTTTGGGTCAAGTCACTTTTTAGATTACTTAACCACTGGGCCATGTGTCCTTGTCCATGTGTAAAGTTTTGGGACTTATAAACCTCAGTAAATGTCTTAGTAACTATTTTTTTACCAGAACTCATATTACAATTTCTGTTATTGTTGTATTTCTCTATCTGATTCCCATATTGTATTCATGCCTGTGCTTGGCTGGATTAGGAGATTTTTGTGGCCTAGCATATGTGCTGATTCTTTAAGTTTTTGTATTTTCCGGTGATGTTCTCTGTCTATTATTTCAACATCATTCAACAGTGGTGATCTCCCATTTCCTTCTATATATGGTCAGCCATGCCTGATTTTTCTATTTCCCCTCATGTTATGGCCTTATGGTGATCTTGCAGTTTTATTTGAAGTAGATGGCCTGTTTCTCCTTTACAATGGCTGAAATGTTATGAATATGGCAATAAAGATGAGGACAACAGTACAAATAATGCAAATAGTATATATATATATATATATATATATATATATATGGAAATTTTTTACTTTTTACCTTAAATTTTGTAGAGTATTGTTTTAGTTGCACAAGTTTCTCTTAATTATATTTATTTATTGGTTTTATTTTAATAATATTTTTGTCAAAATTTTCTTTGTATTAACTAAACTTAGCAGAAGAATTATGGACAAATAGAAAAATAATTTGCTGACATATTTTACAAAAGTTTATTGTAACATTTTTAAGACTAAACTTTCATTTTATAGAGCAAGTGATTTAATTTTGGTTAGTGGACACAATGTTTAATTCTTTTCTTTTCAATAAAGTTTAAGGGTGTTGATATGAAACTAATGGAAATGATCAAGTGAAGTTTATATAAGTGAAAAGGTTGGAAACTGTGTTTTCATTTCTTTTTCCTGCAACTTTTTTCTTTTGTTTTCAAAATTTGATTTATGATTGCAGAATATTTATTAAGAATTTATTATTGTCTTTTAGTTTATCCTTGAAAACAACTGTATCAGAATATTCAACTAATTCTGAATGCTCTTAACTTTCAGATGAGTATTCCAATGCTGAAAAATCTCTAGCAGCCTTTACATGTATAGAACGTCAAACATGGGCAGATATCCGAAAGCAGTATTTTTCTGAAGGAATCAACAAAGAATCTTTGGATTGCATTGAGAATGCTATTATTTTTGTAAGTAAAATTATGTTTAATTATTTTAGAACACGTGGAATATGATCATTGGACTTAAAGAATATCATAGTAGAGTTAATATAAAAATGGTGAAGCCCAGGCTGTTGCACTGGACATCTTGAAAGCCTTTGACAGAGTCTGACATTCAGCTGAAAAGTTACAGTGTCTCCAAACACTTTTTTGAACTGATCCAGCCTTTCCTATCAAATCATGAAATGAGTGTTATCCTGAATGGCCACTCGTCTAGATCCTTTTGTACTAATGCAGGTGTCCCCTCCCCAGGGCTCCATCCTTGGTCCTTTTTAATTTTCATTAATGACCTTCCTGATGATATCAGCTCTCAACTTGGTATCTACACTGATGACACAATAATTTACTCTTGCCTCGATAGTAAGGCTTATCAGTCTAACAAGATCAAAATGGCAGCCAATGTCCAAAATGACCTCAAGTCTGTAGTTAACTGGGGAAAAAGATGGCTTGTTAATTTTAATGCCTCCAAAACTAACCTTCTCTCCATTAATCATCTGAGAGACCCCTTGCTGCCTTCCATCAGCACGGCTGATGCTATTCCCCAGAAAAGTGACTTGTTGTGCCTTCTTGGGCTCATATTCTTTGCTGATAAGACTATATTGAATCCATTGCTAGGTCAGCTGCTAAGAAAATTGGTTCACTATATCAGGTGAGAAAACTTTTCTCTTTAGAATCTACCTTACATATCTATAAATCTACCATTTGTCCATGCTTAGAATATTGCTGCCACATATCGTCCAGTGCCCCTTTTATTTACCTTGAGTTCCTTGATAAGATCCAAAGAAGAATCTGCAATATTATTAACCCTGATTTGGCAGCTCAGCTCCAATCACATTTCCCCTGCCATAAAGTTCTCTCTTTGTTTTTTCTATTAATATTTTCATGGTAATTGTTCAAATGAGCTCTTTGCTAGGGTACTTAGATTTTGGGAATTTAAGTGCAGTACTAGATAGACTGGCATCAAGATCTCATCAGATATAGTCATAAATTCTATGCTAACAGTTTCTTCTCTCGCACTTCTTGCTTGTGGAACTCCCTTCCAGCTCCTTGCTTTCCAGCCAACTTTAATCTGCAAAAATTTAAACGCAATGTCAATCACTATCAACTATCCTCCTGATTACTCTCTTCACTTTCTGCTGATCATTAATGTTTCTGTTCCTAATTCTTCCACACCCTGTAACCCCTTGTGTTTTAGTGGCATTGATTGGGGTGATTTCGATTAAAAAAAAAAAAAAAAAAAAAAAAAATGTTGGATTGACATTGGTTCTTATTGTTCTTGTATAACAAAAGAGAAAATCACCTACCTCAAAAAAGAGTTAGTGTTTTGTGCATGGTCTACCAAAGGAAAATTAAAGAAAACAGCAAAAACCTTCTACTTTAAGTATCAGAGAAACTATGCTAATGTTATTCCTTCCCTGAATAGCATGGCCATTCAGAAAAATCACTCAGTGAATAAAGGCCAATACTTTTGCTAACAGAGACAGAATGATTTTGGAGCTTGGTGAGTATAAGTGTTTTTCTGCTGTTGTGAAGGAAAGGTGGATCTCTTACCACATTTTTGATTACTACATTGCCTGTTGGACTGTTTACAATAGATTTGCAATTGAACTTTGTGTTTGTATATAAATTATTTTTTTGTTTCTACTGACCTCATTGATTGATACCCAAACATCTTGAGAATCAATGTTTTAACCCACTGTTGTAATTTCATAGTCTTAGGTCTAAAAATTACTAAAAAATTAAAAATGAAATTTACATTGGCATCTTGGAGAAGCAACCACACACAATATTTTTTTTATCATTTCACCCCCAAGCAAAACAATAAAGCCACTAAGATGCAAAGAATCTAAGAAAAATCATTTAAGAGAGGATAGTAAAAGAACAGGATTCAAAAGACAGAAGATAATGATTTACATTGCATTTAAATTTCTGAAGATCAAAGTTGACTGGAAATCAAGGAGCCGGAAAAGAGTTCCACAAGCTAGAAGTGCAAAATGATGAGATCTATGTGCCAATTTAGTAGTGCACTTAAATCCCTAAAGTTGAGGTATGAAAGAGGAAACTCATCAGAACACTTATCTAATAAGCTGAGATGCCAGGTTAGGACCAATAACATTGCAGATTCTTTAGATTTTGTCAAAATCTCTACATACTTAACAGAAGCATCAGACCAGATGTAGCATTATTCAATGCATGGACAAATGGTAGATTTATAAAGGTGTAAGATAGACTCTGGCAAGAAAAATTGTCTAGAATTACACAGTGAATCAACTTTCCTAGCAGTAGAGCAAGCAATTGATTCAATATAATCATTTCACTTCATGTCAGTAGAAAACATTAGACTGAGAAGGTACAAGGAATCACTCCCCTCAGAGATTAGTATTAGCCATGCTGATGGAAAGCAAAAAAGTTCTCTAAAATGATTAAAAGAGAACAGCTTCATTTCTTGCCCCAGTTAACAACATATTGAAGGTCATTTATTAGATCGACTATCAATTTGATTTTATTGAATATATCAGACCATTTAGACAGGAGTAAATAGTTGTCATCAGCATAGACACAAAGCTGAGAACTGATGACATCTCAGATCATTGATGAAAATTAGGAATAAAGTAAATCCAAGGACATGAGGGACATCCACATTAGATCTAGAAGAGTGGCAATTCAAGACAACTTTCATTTTGTGATTTGATATGAAAGATTGAATCATATCAAAAATTTGTCCAGAAATATCATAACCCTTCAACTTATAAAGAAGATCAGTATGCCAAAGCCTTTGAGATACAACAGCCTCAGCTTCACAATTCTTATCTAAAGCTTGATAGCCTCTTTCAGCAATAACTGTTATCATATCAGCAGTTGACCTATAGAAGCAAAAGCCATCTTGTTTGTCTGAAAGAAGACCTTGCATCGTGAGATGCTTAAACAATTCAGAGTTGATTAAAGCTTTTAGGACTTTACCAAAAAGAGGTAAAGATGTCGAAGACTAAGAGTAATAGTTAGAAGGACCAGACAGTCCACCTGAGTTCTTGAAAACAAGAACTCCAGAAAAGGATTTCCAACAAGCAGGAATACAAGAAGTAGCAAGGCATTTATTGTACAGTTTAGAGACAAATGTAGCCACTTCAGGGGCATGTCTCTTTAGGACTATTGCAGGGATAGCATCAAGTCTGCATACTTTGTAGGGACCCAGTTTAGAGATGATAGCAGAAATCATAGTTAGAGTTATATGCAAATCACAAAGTAGAGTTCTCATTGGAAAATCAGGAAAAGATACTGTAGATAAGTTGAATTAGAAGAGAATTTACAAACAAATCATTCTGTTTTATCAGCAGAAGCTAATAACAGCTCAAATTAAGTGAAGACTTAATCTTATTCAACACACTGTTACAGAGCCACCAGTTGGAGATAACTTGTTAATTAGTATTTATTTGCTCGACTGATATAAATTGTTTTCAATCATCATCATCTTGCGACCTCAGCCGAGATTGAACTCACTAATACTTTGATTGGTGTAGTTCATAATCTTGTCAAATAGCTGAATTCTTGATGCTTCGCTAGGGCTATCAAGGGTGTTTTTTATCGTGACACCATTACTAAATGGATTGCCAACCAAGGCTCAGGGAGACTCCATTCACCCTCATCTAAGAGCAGGTTTTGAATTCAGAGTTTTCCTTCTCCTAGACCAGTTGCCATCCAAGGCTATAGAACCCAGTCTGTCCTGCTATTTACCCATAGCTGGAGGGAGAAGAAAGAGGATTCACACCTTTCCCAAGGGTGTTAGCATGTAAGTGAATGTAATGGATTTGACTGGAATTCGAACTTGGCTCTCCGATTCCTCAATCCAAGCCGCTATCCATTACTCCACCGTGCCTCCACTCTAATCTGTTCCATAAAAATGTTCTAATATTGAATATTAGTGTTGCCTGTATCTAACAAATATAACACCATTAAATAGCATATTTTTAAGAATGGTTGATAAATTATCATTTTCCTAATAATGTGTTTTAATAAAACAAAAGAGTAATCAAATTCATATCCTTTGTCTTAGATAAACAACATTTCATGTGTTACTATTTTTAACCAATCAGCTGAGGATTTTGTTACACTTATACTATATTACCCATTTTCTCCAGCTAAAACCATTGTGCTGCGCATGATAAAACATTGTCAGCATATTCTGAATCCCACATCATTTTTCAAAATGTTTTCCTATTCATGCAATGCATGTTCTCATCCTAACACAACTTACATATAGTCTCTAACAATGACATATGCAGTCAATATAGTGTGTTAAGTTGCATACCAATCATTTTGCTCAACAAGACAAACCATTCTTATCAAATCATTCCTATTTAGAGTAGAGCTTGCCTCACAAACACAAGTGTTATATTCCATGCTAATAGGAATATATACTTGAAAAACAAGATGGATAAAATAAGTGAAGGTTTATTGTAAAAAAAAACCAGTACAATAAGAATAAAGGTAACAGTTATGCCAAGGTTGTAGCAAGTCAATCCAGTAGTGAGTGCTACTATTGGAAGGTTGGTAGCTCTCATCTCAGTTGTACTCAACAGATCCCAGCTAGTAATATTTACCAACCTCCCCACAGGATAGGATGTGGCACAAGGCTGAATTTAATGTGGGGCAATCCAAGCCTGTAGGCTCGGCCAAAAATTCCCCGTAGACTTTGCATAAATGGGTTCAGGTCTGTCTACCTACCCAGACAAGACTCTGCCCTTTGACATAGCCTTGTCTGGGTTCCTCTCTGCTCGAAGGCAGAGAGTTTGACAACAGCTAAGAAACAGATCCTCGCTATCTATCTATCTATCTATCTATATATATATATATATATATATATATATATATATATATTAGGAGGGATATATATAAACCAAATATAAAAAAATATATATATATATATATATATATATATATATATATATATATAAAATCCATAAAATTTCTCC